AAAGGCAGGCGGCGATTCCGCAATTTAAACGCTAAAGCGCGTGAAACCGAATTCGATACACGGTAGCTGTATCTGAGCGAACGGCTATTCGTGCGGCAGGCAAGATTAAAGAATCTCCGCTGATTGCCTGCACGAGCACGTTTGCATTTTGCTGTCGATTTTTCTTGTTAACCGATAAAATCCATATTCGCAGATCATCTGTGATATTTAAGAACGCAATAACGATATTCGATAACACATTATCAAAGATTTCCCGACTTAGCCCAATTATTTATAGATTTTTACAAATGTACTTTTCAATTGGATAATTACATTACATATAGACCCGGTTTTATGGGGTAGAGAGCGGGGGAAGAGCGAGAGGAGGGGGAGAGAGAAGGTAAGTTGCATAACCTATACGCGACGTTCGTCGAACGAAATAAGCATGAGAAATATTAAAAAATAAGTTCTACGACAGAATGCGTAGCAAAATCGTCTAGCGATGGGCTAGACGATTTTGAATAACAAGAAACGCATGAGCAAAATAACCTCAAAATAATAACTCACCGTCAAATTTGGCACGCCGGTTTTCGCACACAGAGCTTACTTGCTTCGGTGTCTCAGTTGCTTCAATGAATGTATCACGATGATCTCTCGATATTACCATTAATGCTCTTTGATGCTACGGATGGTGAATGGCACTTGTTATGTTCGAAACAACGAGTGACTAACGCAACGTACGCATAAAAAGCGCCATTCTGCAACAGAAAACAAAGTAATGAGCTTGGCGATCTCGAACGACGAAAAACATTAGTCGCGATTGCGTAAACAAAATAATTACCCGTCGCCAAATTCGACGCTTGCCACACTCCTTTGTAAGTATGCGAAATTCACTCGAGACGGATAAAACAGACGTAAAGACACGGAACGATCACAATTCAACCGCGACATTACGATGTCCGACGCGAACTAAGCCGGTCGTCCGCAAGCAATTCAACATGTCGCCATATTACATGGCTAATATCACACAATTACGCGGCGAATATCTCAATATCTCAAACGAGCGATCTATCGCAGCGATGATCCTATTACTGCTGTAGATAATGGATCGCATATACGATGATCATTGGAATAATAAATAGCATGAAATACACACGAAAGATACGTATAAAAAGATAAAATCTCCCGACGGAACGCAAAACGATGGACTGAGATTACGAATGCCGAGAAACGAGTTGAACGCTATCAAGCATATTAATGCCTCGAGATGATTTTTCATAATTAGATTCGGTATTCCGGATACTCATCTTCACACGGAGTTCGCACAAAACAACCAAAAAAGACACAAAGACGCGAAAACACCGCGATTCACAAACAACAATCGGCACCTCGACGCGACTGACCACGACTAACTGACCGTAGCACAACTAACCGACCGTAACACGACTGTAACCAATTTCATGATGCTCAATCATTACAAATCAAGTAAATATTTATTTGATTCAAGTAAATGATTTTTTTTATTCAAATAAATAATTTTTTATTTAAGTAAATAATTTTTTTAATTCAAGTAAATGATTTTTTTATTCAAGTAAATATTTATTTGATTTAAATAAATATTTACTTGAACCAAGGAAAGAAAGAAAAGAAAAAAAGGCGCGCGTGTAACGCGCGCATGTATGTCCTAGTAAACATAAAATAGAGCACATGCACTAATAAATAATAATAAAAAAATTTAATTTCTTTACAAAATATTGATTGTACATCTGTTTGGTGGTTTTCATAAATGTACAATTGTTTTCATAAATGTACAATTGTTTTGATTATACAAATATAACAGTGCAAAAATAGGAAGACAATATTATACTAGGTGCGCAATTAAGTTTCCGGGTTTTTTTTATCAATGCAAAATGGAAAATTTCAAGAGAAATACAAAAAACGGTTTATTCAAAGTATCGTCCCTCGCTAGCTACACATTTTTGCCATCTCTCTGGCAATACATGAATACCGCGACGATAAAACGACGCGTCTTTGCATCGAAACCATTTATCCAATCAGTTTTGCACTTCTTCGAAATTGGCCAAGTGTAGCCCAGCTAAGCCATGTGCCATCGACCGGAACAAGTGATAATTGGAAGGGGCCAGGTCTGGTGAATACAGCGGGTGCGGTAGCAGATCCCATTTCAGCGTTTTGATGGTGTCCTGGACGATGGAAGTGCGATGGCACGGAACGTTGTCGTGCTGCAATATCACTCGTTCGTGTCTCGTGTCCCATTCTGGCCGTTTTTCGAGCAATGCATGGTTCAATTTATCAGTTGTTGTTGTCTTG